TCGCCTTTTTTTGTAGACGTCCACAACGACCCTTGGCCCACTTGGCACAAAGCTAACTCAAAAACACCCAACGAAATGAATTGGCAATACGCCCTCCCCCGTTGGCAAATGTGGATGTCCACGGAACGCAGTCACTTGGTCGCCGTTCATGGAAACTATCTGCGCATCTTTCTCTCCATTGTAGCCAGTGAATTCAGATTGCAGCTTAAAACTGGCGTCCAACGTACACATTTCTCTTCCTCTTCTTTTTTTTCTATTTCTTCCGGTTCTCCTTCTAATGCATATTCGATTTATCCCCTAGCAAGCTATACATCGAATCTACCGATCCATTCACGTGTAAATCGTGTTCGTTCTTCAACTAGCTTCCCCAAGACATTGTTTCATTTTAATGGCAAATAAATGGTAATTCCAAGTGTTGTATGATAATTGATTTTCTTCCATTGAATATTATGCATATTTTTGCACTTTTCACAGGCGACTTTTCCTCGTATATATCTTCCCATGATATGTCGCGGAAAGTTGTTTCAAAAAAGTCCGAAAAAAATTCTGCGATATTTACCGAGGTCGTTTTCGGGAAAGAGTAAAATTTTTTCTTCGAAAAAGTGCATCCGAAGAAATGAAATATTGTCCAATATTGTCTGCGTTGAAGGATCGAAGTTGATATCCTTACGATGTTCCATTCCGTTTTTCTTCAATCACTGTGTGACATTCGATGTCTTCGAGTTCCACATTAATGGACTATTTTCTTTAAGGTATAGTCGCGTGTTATATTGTTCGTCAAAACTTCTGCGTCGACTGGTTAAGATAAAGGGCAGATCGAAGAGAAGAGAGCCTAAATATAGCTCGTTAGAAGCAGAGAAAATCGATTTATACATAAAATAAGTATTCGTGTCTATACTTAGTCCAGGCCTCCCAACGCAAACCACCACTGCTCGACCAAGATGCCTTGTTTCATAAAATGGCTAAGACGATCACATAAAAATCCTATGCAACTATGTGATCGTGCGTTCATTTGGCATGATCAGGCTGCTCATTCTTCGACAATCAAACATTAACGCATAGTTCCTCGTTAACGCAATGTATACTAGAACATTCAATGCAATTGAAGGATTCCACGAAAACCTTGAAACCAGGACAAACAGCCGCACAATATTTAATTATACAAATAACTAGCGATTTCGATCAATAATTCACTTTGTGAATTATGTTTTGTCATTTTTCCCCTTCTGATATATTTGACTGAACTTCCGTCATAAATTATTGATGACTCATATTCACATAGAATTTGATAAAATTTCCAGAATATCTTATCTTGTATTTGTTATTTGCTGAATCAAAGTTCTATATAAAAATTCAAAGCTTGAAAAATAAAGGCAGTAGTTAAAATAGTTAAAATGCTTTACAATTAAATATACAGTGATTTATGAAAGTATTTAAATTAACTTGCTTAACTTACTGTAAAAAAATTTTTATAAACATGATATATATGTGTTATACAAGACATTTTCAAATTTCATTAGTAACGAGACACAGCTGATCATGAAATCTAGAAATCAAGAATGACTCAGGATGAGTCTTTTAACTCTGCTACTTCAATTATTTATAAATTGTTCGTCACATGAAAAATATTGCAAACAAAAATCATATGATATAAATGGGACATGGTGTAGGTTTACACAGTGTAGTGTAAAACTAGGTTTTTATTATCTTGTTTCTCTTTTAGTATCATATGTTACATAAAATTTATTGCATATCAATGTGCATAATATGTTTAAAAAGTTTCTATAAGCATTGAAATATTTTCATGAATCACTGTATTTTGTTCAGTTTGGAGAATCATTCATTATAAAGGCCTGTTAAACCTTATTATTAAATCAATCTTCCAAGCGTTAATTGCTTTGTAATTAACGTACCGCCGTAGTCTTCCGCTTCTCGCGCTTCTTCAACAAGAGATTCCTCACGAGCATCGCTCGCAGTTGAGACAAGTAGACCCCGCACATGTCCATTCTGCGAGATGTACTCGTCCTTCTGATTTCTGCAACATAAACGAGATTCAAGTGAATCGATTCTGAAAGGGGGAAACACGTGGAACTGTTTAAGCTAATTAACACGACATTTCTACTGAAGTACGTTTTTACTTTGTCTCAATGACTTTTGTAGTACTACATTGCAACCTTGTCAACACTCACTTCTCTACTTAAATCCTCCAACTTCATTTCGAACTTCTAAAACTACTACTTTCCACAGATTTTTCTATCCTATTATAATTTCCATTCCACTGAACATTCCCCATTAACGATCCCTTCAACCGTAAATCCATTCACTCGATTCCCTGATCCAATCATCTTTATGCCTTCCATCTCTCTTCCTAAATCGAACAAATCCTATCAGAACACAAACGTCCCTCTATCTTCCATCATTATGTTATCCCTAATTTATGCAAAAGATCTGCAGTTGCTGAGTGTAGTAAACGAGCGAAAATGAACAATAATAAGCAACGTGAAAATATATAAATATAAGACGTTTTCATTTATCAAGCATCTAAAAATATATATATATATATACATAATTAATCAATCAATTAATTACAAAGAATGAAAGTTGCAGCCTAATGTACATAACGTATACTGTATCAATCTACACATGTTGACACATTAAACACATTGATTGTTTGATCATCGGATAAGGAAATTGTGATTCAAAAACGAGTATTTTACAGTATATATTCTAGTTGCTTTTTAAGTTCACAAGTCGAGGAGACCCATGTTCCAGGGTATTGGGCGAACCAACCGCGGAAAAAGATTCTTATTGATTAACATCCAGCAGCGGCGGTTTGGCCGATGATTGGCCCCCAGCCGTGACGAAAGTTTTCGCTTCGGCTCTTCGTCAGTTGGGGCTCTTTGTTGGGAAGTCACGGGCCTCTAACGTCTGTCCGTACGTGCCATATACACGTAAGTTGAACAGATATAGTCGCGATGTGGTCGATAATTCGTCGTTTGCACTATTTAAGCGTTCGAGCGTGTAAGAGCGAGCAATATGCCATCGAATATGTCAAGGTCTTCGTCATAGTTCCTGTATACTGACCTATGGAAAAAAAAAGAAAAAAAAAAAAA